GTCAATAATTTAACTCGTTTAAGAAATTGTTCATACGTAGAGCATGCTCTTGCGTATCGAATCAACTGAGATATAAATACTCCGTATGCAGGTGATGAAGGTATATTGCTGCATAAGTAAGGGAAGTTGACGATAGAAAAGTTAAAGTCATCACGTTTATCATATAGCTTGGTTGTTAGATTACCATTAGTGTCTTTTTCAAGTAAAATATCCAAGTATGAAGCAGAAATTTCGGACTCTGTGGTATCTTTTATCTCAAACTCACCAGGATATATCGTGTCGACGTAGGAATGGAAATCACCATTATTATACCCCACGCAACTAGTTGCGGGAGGTATAATGTTTTTGACCCGTCCGTCAGTCAGTCAGTCCGTCAGTCAGTCAGTCCTCTTTTTTTGTCAGCACAACTCCTCATAAACCGCTGCACAGAATTTCGTCAAACTTTGCAGGTATTTAGGACAATGTGTAGATTTGCATATTACCAGGAAATTCCCATTCCATTATTTTTTCCGGGAATTTCCGCACTTTTTAACTTAAGCATTTGGCCATATTTTGAATATAGAGATGAACAGTTTGTCAGCGCAACTCCTCATAAACCGCTGCACAGAATTTCGTCAAACTTTGCAGGTATTTAGGACACAATGTGTAGATGTGCATATCACCAGGAAATACCCATTCCATTATTTTTTCCGGGAATTTCCGCACTTTTTAACTTAGGCATTTGGGCATACCTTGAATATAGAGATGAACAGTTTGTCAGCGCAACTCCTCATAAACCGCTGCACAGAATTTCGTCAAACTTTGCAGGTATTTAGGACACAATGTGTAGATGTGCATATTACCAGGAAATTCCCATTCCTTTATTTTTTCCAGGAATTTCCGCACTTTTTAACTTAAGCATTTGACCATACCTTTTATATAGAGATGAACAGTTTGTCAGCGCAACTCTTCATAAACCGCTGCACAGAATTTCGTCAAACTTTGCAGGTATTTAGGACACAATATGTAAATGTGCATATTACCAGAAAATTCCAATTCCATTATTTTTTCCGGGAATTTCCGCACTTTTTAACTTAAGCATTTGACCATACCTTGAATATAGAGATGAACAGTTTGTCAGCGCAACTCCTCATAAACCGCTGTACAGAATTTCGTCAAACTTTACAGGTATTTAGGACACAATGTGTAGATGTGCATATTACCAGGAAATTCCGATTCCTTTATTTTTTCCGGGACTTTCCGCACTTTTTAACTTAGGCATTTGGCCATACCTTTTATATAGAGATGAACAGTTTGTCAGCGTAACTCTTCATAAACCGCTGCACAGAATTTCGTCAAACTTTGCAGATATTTAGGACACAATATGTAGATGTGCATATTACCAGAAAATTCCGATTCCATTATTTTTACCGGGAATTTCCGCACTAAATACTTAGGTTTTTGGCCATACCTTGAATATAGAGATAAACAGTTTGTCAGCGCAACTCCTCATAAACCGCTTCACAGAATTTCATCAAACTTTGCAGATATTTAGGACACAATATGTAAATGTGCATATTACCAGGAAATTCTAATTCCTGTATTTTTCCGGGAATTTCCACACTTTCCAACTTAGACTTTTTGGCCATATTTTGAATATAGAGATGAATAGTTTGTCAGCGCAACTCCTCATAAACCGCTGCACAGAATTTCGTCAACCTATGCAGATATTTAGGACATATTCCATTATTTTATCTCAAAGAGTTTTGCCTATTATTCAAGATAATTTCTCAACCCCCCCTCCCCTAACAACTCCAAATTAATGTTTGGATTTGTATAATGCCAAGAAATTTTGATTCCGTTATTTATATAGAAACTTCATTCCACATTTAAATGTCCTCATATGCAAGACATTTTGATGTGAAGATTTTTTTGCAATTATTGCCCTTTTTGATCTATACTATGTATTTAAAGTGCACTGTGCCTTTCATTATGTGTTTCACCGTTAAATTTTGGGGGAGCGTGGGGTATGTGAGCTAGCTCACTTTTTCTTTCATTAATTGACAATACGTCGTCGATATATCTAAATGTCGAGTTGAAGGCCACAACAAGTGTTTTCTTCTTTTCACGTAAAAGATTTTGCATAAATTCTGCTTCATATGAATATAAAAATAAGTCTGCTAATAACGGAGCGCAGTTTGTACCCATGGGAATTCCAATAGATTGTTGGAATACCTGGTCTCCATAAACCACATAGATATTGTCATTCAGAAACTCAAGCATCTTCTTGATGTCAACTTCAGCTAGAGTACTTATGTGTGCAATCAGAATCTGTTTTAACAAAATAATTTTTCAAATGACCAATGACGAGGTAAGTAAACTTAGGAGTTCCATTTTTGTTGAAGAAGCAGCTTTCAATGATATCAAAAAGCCTGGATTTTAATTTGTCGTGGGGAATTGTTGTGTATAAAGTTGAAAAGTCTTAAGTTTTTATGCTGTTGATATTTGTAAAGTCTTGTGATTTCAAATTGTCCAAAAGTTCTTTAGAATTTTTAAGTATCCACATCTGATTTACACCACTTCTTGAATATATAGTTGTACAGTACTCTTGAAGTTTTTCCTTCACTACTGTCAATATTTTAGTGAGAAGTAACGAAAGAGGCTTGGTTGAACATTTACTGGAACCTGCAATGTATCTTTGTTTGTTAGGATTCTTATGAAGTTTCGGAATCCAATATATATAAGGTAGTTCAAATTCATTTTGGCTCTGTGGAATATTAAAAGTATTCAAAACTGACAGGTGATTTTGAAGAAGTTCTTCCTTAGAAAGAGAAGTATATGTATAATGAGCCTTACAAACGAAGAAAATGTTGTAACCTGCTTTGTCGGCAGGAACCAGTACGTACTGATCGTGTAATCTATCTAATTCTTTTTTTCACTTCTGGTTTATTGAACACAGAAGGATAGATGGTTTTCATTTTGCCCCTCAATCTTTTAATATGTGACTTTAACATGGATCTGATACATTGAATCCATTAAATAACTTTTAACAAATGATAAACCAAATGTTTCTATATACGTTCGTGGGGATGTAAATTCGTGGGTCAGGGTTACCCACGAAAGCCACGAACATTGGTCCCCCACGAACAATGATGATTCCACAGTATGTACAGTTGTCAAGTTGGTATGTATGTGAGAACGACCGTTGTTCCCGTTGCTTGTGATCATGACTAACCGTCCATGAACAGCCGAACCATGTCTATCGTTCCCTTCAGTGCGACCCGGCATAATTGGCTTCGGAAGCCTTTGTGTGTGATGCCGATTCTTTCAAGACAGGAAGTGTTTTGGCGGCACCAACCACCTCGAGCCCCGACAGCGAGACCGAGCACCTGCACCTTGTCTACACTCAATTTATCTTTGATCTGTCTGTTCAAAAGGGGTGTTCTTACGCACGTTGTTGAGATTGGCCTGCTGTAAAGAAGGACCATTCTCGTACACCACAGTAGTGTTGAGGACCATGCAGTGTTCCCCTTTACTAAGACAAGATCAGGCTTCGAAAGCCTTCCCTCAGAGTCATTTATCCTGGGTTCATAGCTGGCTAGCCACCTACTATCTTTGCATTTTTTGGCAACGCAATTTAAAATTGCATTGTGTCTGCGTATTCGATAGTCCTTAACCTTAGGACATGCTCCCGAGATGTGACCTATTGACATCACCCGATGCTCTAGCTCTGGCCATTGTAACTATGCATGAGTACGTTTCTGCCCTCAGACTAACGTCAGTAATGTAGTCAGCCTCACTGCAGAAGTACTTCGCATGCGTGATCAACCAGCTGTTAGATTCACTGAATCGAAATGACTTTGCAGCCTTTCCGATGTTCAGATCCTCTGTGGCTTTACGAACAAGCCTGTGCCATCGTACTCGCCCTGCAGGCTTTTCCGGAACGCTGAGTCCGGCATCCTTGGTCAACCTTTTAACGAAGACCTGGGTTTGCAAGACATCCGTCATGCGATTGATCTTGGAATCGGAGTACCGGCAGATGCCACGAAGCATGTTTACTCGCTGGGCGGATATACTCTTTGTTAGCTCAGGCAACCCGAATCCACCGTCCCCCATACTCTCGTAGAATATGGAGTTAGGCAGTTTCAGCCTGCATCGCACTGTAGCTCGTACCATGCGGTCAAGCTTTTTCAAAACCGACTTGGGATAGTCATCTTGCTGGAGGGGATACATCAGCCTAGGTAGGGCATACTGATTCAAGAGAACCAGTTTTTTCCGCGGTTTAAGCGACACCTCACCCAACGGAGCAATCATATCCCCAAACTGAACAAGCAGGTTCTTTCGAATCTTGGTCACCAATGGACTTCATGCTTTCGTCCGGGGGGGGGGACCTTTTCCCCTTTTATGCTTACCGGGTCACATTCGTATTTACCGTGTATGTCTTACTCCCACATGGAGTTATGTAAAAGGTAGCTGACTTTTTGATGTTTAGCCACATGCCATTCTCAGTACAGAAGGTATCCACTAGTGCCAGATTGTGGTTCATATCTTCAGGTTGCCTCTACCAGTCTTTCTTAATTTACTTGCATAAATTTAAAATGTTAACTTAATGGGGTTTTATCCGAGATCCCATCCAAAATTTTGTTATCAAATAGGATGTTGGTAGGCATATATAGACTGCAGAGTTCAGTAGATATTAGATTGCCAATTACACCTGGATTGTTGGATAGGTATATTGAATGCATTCTGAATTGTTTTTCAAATCATCCTTCTGATCATGATCACTTTAAAAATTGCAATATTTTTGCGAAAATGTACTTAAACCTTTTGATTATATTCTGAATGTTGTAAAATATGGTTATAAATTAAAGTTTAAAAGTTCTCCTGAAACAATTTTTAAGAAATAATTAATTTGCTTTAGATAATTCAGATTTTAAAGAAACACCTATTCTTTTATCTATGAAGAAAGATCTGGTTTTGGAATGCTTCTCTTTGTGTTAACAGTTTCCATATCTGAGAACAAACAGCAAAGGTAGATACTGGATGTAAGACATGTTAATTCTGAAAAGAAAGGCAAAATTTAAGGGGACAAAGGACAGTTATTTCTGAAAAGAAAGGCAACATTTAAGGGGACAAAAGAGGTCTTAAACTCGGCAAAGAAAGGGATTTTTTTTAATAGAATTTGATTTCATCAGTGGGTACCACCATATCAATATTCACCCGGATCAATATCTAGGGTTTTCTTGGAAAATTAAGGAAACCGTCAAATATTATGTCCTTACGGTTTTACCTTTTGGTGTATGTTTTGCGAGACACATTTTCACAAAAACTTAAGACTTTTAGTAGCACGTTGGAGAGTCTGTTCTTTTCCTATAATTATATATACATAAGTACTTAGGCGACGGATGTTCAAGCGACACAAAAGAAAATTGTATTTGTCAAACAGCGTTATGGTGGATCGTGCACAGACTTTCTTCTTAATCAACATGATCAAGAAGAAGTATATGGAAAACTTCTCAGAAATTAGACTGGCTGGGTTTTGGGTGGGATATGTGTTAAAGTGTAATTAGCATCCCACAAAACACATTAGAAAACCTGAATGTTAAGATCCTAAACAAAAAAAATAAAAAGCACATTCAAGGATTTAGCGTCAGTTGTCGGTCATATAATTTCTTTGCTTTAGGTCCAATATGTCAAATGTTTACATGGAGTCTTTCTTTTGTAATTGCTCAAAAATCTTTTTGGGACCAAATTTTGAAAATACGCGTATATAACAAGTCCTTTTGCTATTTACTCGGAAAATAACATATTTCTTAAAATTTCAGATTCGAGCCAGTAGTTTCATTTTCTACCTTTGGGTAAACTGGGTGGAGGGAGCAGAAACGAGTTTTCTGCATTGAAATCCTGGATCCCAGAACTCTCCTCACTTTCTACACAGTACGCGTAATAAAAATCTTTTAAGAATATGATAGATATACAAAAGATGCTCAAACAACTTAGGTAATTTTCTTTTCTAGCCTAGGATGTCAATTGCTTTTAATTTATTACAACATAACCTCAATCTAAATCGCTGCTAATCATGTCTGGTATCATGCCCTTCAGAGCAATTAGCGATCTAAATCTCTCGGTAAGTTCACGTCTTTTCTTTTTTCCGTCTTCAGTTTTTCTTTCAGTTCTTCAATCTGTCAAAAAACAGTGATAAAATGCAGATTCATATTAATTCAACTGTTCAAACAGATTCACTGTATTTTAGTGAGGATTCAATTTTGCGTAATAAATAATCTTTTAAGAATATGATTGATATACAGAAGATGCTCTCAAAAAGTCCTGCATTGAATCCTGGATCCCAGTAAATTTCCTCACATTCTACACAGTAGCCAAATCATCTTTTAAGAATATAATTGATGTACAGAAGATACTCCAATAGCTTTGGAAGTTTTCTTTTTTAACCAGGAGGCCAGTTAGTGGGTAAAAATTTATAACTTTATAAATATATTACCTCACGATTCTTCATCGCTGCTGCTTGATGATTCCGATTGGAACATAGCGAAGGTTAATCTTCTTAGAATTCTTTTTAATTTTTCTTTCTTTAGTTTCTCTTTTTTCAGTTCTGCGTTCTGTCAAGATCAATGATGTAAAGCACTTTTATATCAATTTTACTATATAATGAAAATTACATACCGAAAAAGTTGACAAGCAAATAATAGAAAAAAATCGGAAATCCTATTCCGTAGGGGAGGAAGGGGGGGGGGGGCTAATTTCTTTCCATGCCAACTTGTTTTAGTACCAATTTTTTTTTATGGATCTAAGAAAGAGAGAAGTGCTTAAACATTTTTAGTGCAAATGTAATTGCTTACTCTATTTTTGTTTGAAATAAATATTTAAAAAATATTTTATATTCAATGCAAAAAATACCCTCTTAACTAAGCGGCTTGTATTGGAGTCCTGTGTGGAAAACTGTTTTTCTCCTTTCTTCATGAAGGTGGGCTTACATGCTTTAATTCCAAGCTGTTCGAGATATTCCATGGAATCTCGGAATCCCTGCTCCACAATGAAATAATCTTCCATACAGTTTAAAACATCTTACTTGTTTGTCTTCATTATATGATTTAAAGTAGGTCTATACCCGCACTACGTCATTTACGAATAGTAAAACCGGAACCGCGCTTCCTTTTTCCGAGATGAGATTTTTTAACTATATTGGTTTGACTTTTACTTAGCGTTTTAAATATCCGGTAACGATTTTGCTCGAAGTCGGTCGCGTCAACAAACACATAATCTACATTTTAAGGATATATTAATTAAAAAAAGAAGGCTGGAACTAACTTTCAGTTGACAGAAATAATTAGGTAATAAAACGTTATTTCTGTGAATAATGGATGTTTTACATGCCGCGTCGAAAACACGGACCATATACATGCTACATCAGAACATGTATCAAACTATCGACGCGACTTTTGTCGGCGGCCAAGTTAAAGCTAATAGTGATAATTTGGGAGAAAAGTAATGACTACGATTTGACTTAGACAATTTATGGATTTTACTAATCAAGCATTACATAATTTATTTTGAATAATAATTATTGCATAAAACGCATACCCCCTTCCCCAACCTGCTTACCCACGAATCCCAATGCAAAATAATCTTATGAATAAGTATTTGACAAAAGTTGATTCACTTGCAGCACACTTCGTTACTTTCTGTAGCAAAATCATCCAGTTTCTGAGAATCAATGAATTACTTTCATTTTCATTTTCATCGTCTCCAATTTAAAGACAAGTGTGTTTTATTTATTTATTTATTTTTGAGTAAAATATCATAAATTTTAGGGACATTTTGTTTTAGATGTGTATAATTATTGTTTTTAAATTATATAAGTTTTAAATTATATACAGCCTTGTTAATACAAGTATACACTCAAACATAAACAGTATTACAGAAATATGTGGCAATATATCACTTTTGGAAGAAAGAAAATAGGGGGGTCCCCTTAGCGTAGAGCTCATACCACGAAAAGTAATACGTCAACATATAATTTTTTTAAGCTTATTATTTTTCTTAAATATAATTTAGTAAAAATAATGCAAATTTATGAAGTTTGAGTCCATAATTTTTTTAAATGACCGTGATTGTCCTGTAAAGCATATTTTCTCACATTAAATTTTGATACAATAGCCTAACAAAGTGCATCTATTTATAATGATTCATGCAAAACAATGATATTATATTGTTTACTAACATGTTTCTACTCTATTTTGGGTATTAAAGTTGAATATTTAGACTTAAATTCATTTATACACAACAAAATCTAGGATAGGTAAAATTTCAGTATTTTACATTTCGGGGTATATACTCCGATAGGCTATAGCGGAAAAGTGAACATGTTGACACATAATTTTTCTTGTGTCTAACCATTGCTGGGATGTATGTCTGTCTTATAAAAGCAGATTTTTAAAGATTGAGCCCATTTAGTGCCGAGTAAAGAACTACCTTAATATTGTAGCATCGCTGTTTCGTGCAAGATAAGGTCCTAAAACGGAGATGTAGTATCCAGTGGTAGAAACAATTACCATTGGTTTAACCAATGTGCAGACTACAACTTTTTCGTTGAAAGGTGAAATTATTGCTCTTCTGGATTAAGATGTATGTTCTATCTATGACAAGCAGGGCTTATGTACCAGTTCCTCTGAACAAAGATTCAGCAAGTAGACGCGTATGTTGGTTGATGACTTCTTGCCGAGATACGTGTGAGAAACCGATGTTTTGTGGAACAAAACTCTCCATTAACACACATCTTGCTGCTGAAATAGACTTCGAATGCTTGCCTTAGATATATTGAAAATTGAAGATAATACGTCATTGCTTAATCCAGACCTCATATTAAGGAAAATTCCAAGGCTATTTTTTTTCATCGCACGGGTGTGCGATTTATTCTGCCATCAAGAAAACGGGTTTGTTTAATCCAGTAAGACGGACATATTGCTGATCAGAAATGTTTTCTTCATTGTCAAAATCGATTCTTGAGGGTTTTTTTTCAAAGCAACTTCACTTACATACAACAGAATATCAGTTATTGAACCTCTGTTAACATTAGAGGCTTGAAAAATGACAGATATTTCCTCAAGGGACTCGGCAGTTAAATTGTTGTTCAAGATGTCCTTTGCACAACATCCTGTTCCATAGAAAGAATTATGTATCTTACTTAAGTTTACTTGTTTGCCAAGTTATATTGAAATCGGACCAACACTGTAGGGAGAGTAGCATTTTGAAATATTGTTTACAGACAGACGGACGGACGACGAACACCTTACTTT